AAAGGCAAAAAAACAAAAAAAAATCGCGAAAGCGGGAATATATAATTTGGCGCTTGAAAACACGAAAACAATAAATAGGAATGTAGTTTTTTTTTTTTTTTATGCATTCGGAAGAAAATGTTATAAGTAACATACCTACGTTTCCCGTAACTCAAAATTGGTAACCTAAATACATTATTCGTTACGGTTAAAAAAACAATAACGAGTACGTTGCTACGTTACAGGAAAACTAACGCGTTAGAGGTAACGCCGTTATTGCAAAGCGTTACCGCCAGTACTGCAAATGACACATGTAAAAAGTAACAAAAAAAGAAAACTTTCCCGGTTTTTTGTTTTTTTTGCGATGCAAATTATTGAACATTATCTTTTTTTGTGTGTTGGTTATGTAAATATTGACGAGATTTTGTCTATTTGTTTTGAAACGAATCAGAGAAGTTGTTTGTATTCCTTTCTAACATATATATGATTGCGTTTTAAAATCAAGAAGAAAGAGGAAGGACGATTCAAATGACAATTTTATTCCCGCGGCCTCACTTTTCCGAATAACATACATGGCGTTCGTGGGCTAACGATACCGGGTTTCACCGACACACGGAAGTGTAACGAAAAGAATCCAGATATACGGTCGCCTTGACGTTGCTTGACACCATATCGTCACAGGACCTAAAGTCACGTCACGTGATCACCTGACTCACAGTGACACCAACCACTTCAGTCGTCGCATGTATTCTAAGTACGACAATATTTTGAAGCATTGCTAGAATGCTGCACATTCCAGTTTATCTGATTCTAAAGCAGCATATGAAAGTCAATAATTTTAGTGACGAATGAACGTGAATAACAGCAAATTCTTTAGACTCCAATTATAGTCGTGTTTAACCGAGGAAGCAAAAAGTAAAAAAAAGTGAGGCTTCACGCGGTACCTTACTTATTTTTTCCTTCATCTGTTGAAGTAAGGATTATGTGAGTGGCATTTTAGATTAGCTTTACATTATTTTATCAAGACAACGCGCAAAAAGCATCAACCCTTCGAAGACCCAATCTTGTTTAAAACTACTTCGCGAAGCGCATAAATAATACGCAAACGTTTTGGTTTGGCTTGATGTGGCAGCGAGTATAGTTCGACGAGAAGTACTTACGATTTCTAGTTATATGTGGATTGTTCAATGCATTCTTCATTATGCGCAAACTTTATAATTGCAGTTTATATACCGTATATCCCATTCATTCCTAGAGTTAGAAGTAGCCGGTACTAGAATAAGATAACACATTCTTCAACATCAAATAAACATGAATTATTCGACACTACTTAAAAAAAAAAAAAGCAACGCGGAGTTTTATTTGTGTCCACGCCTATATGTCCCCCACTCCTTCGCAAAAAAGAACGCAAAATGACCAATTTCCCAAATGGCCTTCAAAAACCAAGACACGGAGGAAACCGAGATCGTGATGAACAGCCTGCATCATAAGGAACTTCCGGTCAGGCTTGCGAACGTAAGCTCTTCGCGTGTGCTTGCTCCCTGCTTGGTGCTCTCATCGCTCCCCGCACTGCGACGGCAGTGTATCGAGGAAGTCGGCAATTTCCGCAAGCTCGCTAGGCCAAATAAATTCCCCTGCTCTCTTTTTTCTTTTGTTTTTTCGTCGTTTTTTGCAAAGCTTATTTGCGTCGTGCCCCCAAATCCAAATCAATATTTGCCACGCGCGGCGAAAATGAATTCCCCGCATATCCGGGGACCACTGCGTCTTCGAAAATGCATTGGGGTACGGACATTCTCATGCAAATTAGCCGAGAAAGCATTTCTCGCAGATTCTGAGTCCCTGTGCGTAACTCTAGCAGCGTCATTTGTGTGCTAGATTTTGATTTTTTTTCTTGCGTGGTTTTTTTGTTTTGTTTCATTTGTGTCTCTGTGGGAATCGCTTATTTCAATGTTTTTGGGCGACGCGATAAACATGCCACATGGTCCCGTTTTTCGGGCATGCGTTTGGATTCGTTGGCAGTCCATATGTGTGATATTTTAGACGCGTTGCTGAATCAAGAAATTGAATCATGCCGTTTTTCACTAACACTTGTCTGGTAAACTAACCGTTTTCACTTTAAATAGCCTTCAGTTAATAACGAGCATTATGAAATGTAGTGCAAGGAAATTTTTTGGATCGAGCAAAGCCACACAATATACATACTATGGCGAGCGCAAGTTCGTCTGCTTCTTGCCAAGGGGTTGCGATGGTGTGAGAATGCCGTGCTCTTATTGGCTGATTGAAAACAATAGTGGGTATACCTCAAGGCAGCTTGCTTTGATGTTTACCCACTATCGTTTCAATCAAAGCCAACCCGAACTTGGCATTCTCACACCATCGCAACTCCTGGACAAGAAGCAGACGACTTGCTCTCCAGGTCCTGGTTAGTAGGGTAAAAGTGCTCGATCCGTGCCGATGAACGTCCCTATTGGTAGATATCTTTAATGTTTCTTCAGATTAACTTTATTCGGGAGTGAAACGCAGAAATAAAACAAATTGTTTGCCAGTGTGATAATTGTTGCAATCTCATTACAGCTCCTTGATAACCAGTTGGATTGCAGATTTTAAGATAAATACCCATCCTTCAATTTTTTTTTTTTTTTGGTGTGGGGGGGGGGGGGGGGGGGGGGGAAAGATGTCCCGGATTCCAAAACGTTATACATGAGAAATGTTCATTAGTAACAACTTTTGAACCAATAGGATGCTTTTTTGAGATGCTTTTTATTTTTTTTGTGAGAGATTTCTTTTAAAGTTAAGTTTGACTTAGTTCGACATGAGCGTGTTGGTGAGATTAAATAAAACAAAAAGAATAAACATAGGGACGGACAGGACAGCACAATAGAGCTGCCGTTCTGTCCGTCGCTATATTTATTCCTTCTGTTTTATTTAAGTTTAAATTTTAGTGAATCTTAAAGGCTTTTCAGATTTCCGAAATTAAAATTTTCAAGATTTCTCGTTATCACCACTTAAACGAAACAAAATTGGCTGACACCAATAGGGTCATTCAAAAGCGTAAAATTCGAAGAGGAAAACACTTGGTTGCATCCCTCAAACGTATCTTTTTTACCAATTTCTTTAACCACCTGAGACTGTGTGCAGAAGGAGAAGAATCCAAAGTGAAAGAGAAAGAAACAAAATGGCAGAAGGCGTAGTCTCAATTCGACAAATCAAAATTTGGAGCATTGTCTTTTGTGGCTCTGTTTCTTCCTCTTCCACTTTGGATTCTTCTCGTTTTCCACAGTCCCAGGTGGTTTCAGAAAATGGTAAATATACACCAGCTCGCCTTCGCCCTTACTGGTTTATTGCATGTGTGTGTGTGTGTGTTTGTTTGTTTTCAGCGGAAACGTGTAATAAATTAGTACGTTTGTCTTTTCTGAAGGCGTTGGCCTTTTTTGACACAAGCAAATACCTAAAAGTAACTTGACATCAGCGGTACTTGAGTTAGTTTTTGGGATCATGCTGTTTCACGTTCAGCCGTGAGTTAAAGTAGGTCCTCTTTGCAAACGCCGTAATATGCGACTTTGCATGTTAAAGTTAACCAGTGGGCACACTTAAATTCGAGTATAATATATATTTACCCGGAAAAACATGTGGACCACCTAAGCAGTTATCTGATACATGACACTGATGCCATCAATCGTATCGGCATTATTCATGGAACAAGGAATTCTCAAAGTTACACCGCACGATCTTTGACGTGCTAAAAAAATGATGTGCATCATTCACAGCGTATGGTGGTGAGGGAAATAATTGCCCATTCCTAAAATAAACGCATATAATTTCGTGAAATAGCCTCGTCTAGAAAGGCATTATTCGGTGAACATATCCAGAAAATATTGTAAAAATGGAATGGCAACACACAACACAGGGTACTGTGTAGTAGTACCTTTTTTCCTTATATTTGTCTTAATGTCGTGTTTACTCTGAACGATGAACTTAGGAGTATCCCCAATAAATATCTTAGTGGCCTCATTTTGTTTTGTCAGACACCGTAAATGCTGGGCTGTGTGATGAATGCTTACGCCAAGTATTTGAAACCACGCGTAATAAAAATCTATGGAATTGCGTTTGTGCGATGGTGAAATTTCGGGTTTGATGGTGTAAGCATCGTCACTCTCGGTTATAAAACGGGGAGCAGAGAAAGAATGAGAGATGTGGCTCAAAGCTATTGCGTATGGTTTTTCCAAAATTAAATGAATAATACAAAATCCTCAAGAAATAAATTTCAGTTGAATTTTTAATGCGAGTAGTAGACTAAAGTGGAGGACCATCTTGATTTTTTTTGTCTTATGAAAACATGATTTTAGCTGCTGACATTCATCGAACATGATAATAAAGCTTTTGCTGATAAGATTTTTATGAATGAGACTTTTTTTTTCAATTGGGTTATTTCTATTTTTTTTCGCATTGTAAAAACCTAATGTTTCCGCTATTTCGTTGGACTGCTAAGCTTAAAAATCATTTAAGTGAACAGAAATGAAATGGATTTCCAGAGCCCACTATTCCTTAGGCAACTATAAACAAAATGGGCTTGAACCCAAACACCTCGCATTTATGAGCACGCGAATGTCAATGGACCGATAGCACTGAGGGTTCAAAGCCTGACACGGCACCAGGGGTCTCGAGAATTGCCGCCTGCCTCCTCTGAACTACTAAAGCCAGGACTGCGTCACTCATGCTCCGAACACTAAGTGAAATCTGTCTATTGATCTCAGTTTACTTGCAACAATATGTCAAATATCGTTTTTTCGCTGCGTTCCTTAAAAAAGATTTTGTTACGTTATTGCATTTATCATAAAATACAACTTATGACACAACACTTGACTGAAATATTGAAGCAGTTAAAATGAGCTGAGCATTATCTATGATAATAACTCGAAAAAAAATTGTTTTTGAAGCAAAAATGAAACAAAAAAGAAACGTGGGAGATAAGAAATACGTTTATCGCTCAGGAGGACCAAGTCATGACGAGTCTGTTTCACCTGAACAATTGAGCGTTGCTGTGGAGCCACCGCCGCCGGTGCCGCCGGTGCCAGACTGACGTTCTCTCTCGACCCTTCGCTCCGCAAGCACGCCATGCCCGTCGCTAACCCCTCGCCGATAATCCAACCGGCGTTAATCCATCGTTAATCCATCTTCGCGCCGTCGTCCTCCGCTCGTCCACGCAACACCACGCGCACAAAAACAAAAACAAAAACAAAAAAAAAAACACGAACTCCGAGAGCACACCCCAATGGGGGCGAACACCCCGAAAATTCCGACACCGGGTTCCCAACCTCCGCCGTCTGCTCTCAGCCGGCGTTCTCCCAGACACAGGGCTACACGTGCTCGGGGACTTGCACCGGAGGCACAACATACGTCACGTGGTTGACGCTACGTCACGTCGCGACGTCACTGCCAGGCGCGCCCCCGCACCATCTGTCGGAAGCCGACCGCACTACAGAGGCGCGGAAACGTCGATAGGACACTCGCCGAAGCCCGTTCCACAATCTCCACGAGATGTTTCAGGTGCTACGTCACTCGTGTGTTCCAGAAGAGGTTCCATGGAAGACAGTTTAAGTGCGTGCTACGTTCATCAATTATTTTTTATTTTTCTTTTAATTCTTCGCAATTTAAAAATTGCAAGTGGGATAGCACAAGTGAAGAAGTCTACAAACGCTTCGGTTTATTATTCCTTTGTTTTCTCTCAGGAGGCACTGAAACCTGTACAAACTGAAGTAAAAAAAAAGAAACGACTGAGCCTAAGACGGAAACGTTTCAGCGCGAAAATTTCACAGCGGTAAATAACATTCCGAAATGTTACGAGTAACATAGGAGATCGGCAGTGATATATAAAAGTTATGAAAATAATTTGAATCGCGAACTCCTTCGAACAGTTATATTCCTTTCAGTTCCCTCAAAAATTCCGTGTAACTAAGTTCTAATATCGTATCGGGGTTGGGTATTGCTTTACACGATTTTTCCAGTATAACCTTAACTAACTTTATTTTATTTCTCTCGTCACTAAATTCTTTTTATACATAAATGAATGAAACGGCGTTTAACACTGCCTCAATTAAGTTATTACGAAGTGCCGCACTATGTAAATAAAATTTTCAAGTATTACGCAAATGAAATATTTAGCAGGCATTTAGTTTATAGGAAACTGGTCACTTGTTACGCATATTTAAATATCTTAAACAAAAACGTTTAAACGTAGTGATCTTAATACTTCGAACTTTAGTAACGTATTCGTTTCATTGCTTTCTTTACAATATAAATAAACTTATTTCAATATACGATGTAACGACATTCTGTAGCTAAAGCTTCTTCTTGTTAATGTAGCCTGCAATTAAAGAAAAAACATTACCGTAACTTGTAGTTTAATGTTTTTTTATCGGAGAAGTTGTGAAAAGCGTCAACGCACGTCACGATTATGACTCCCATTTCGTGATTTTGACCCGTTTACAGGTAATAGCGCCAGGTTCCATGCATGTGCACTAAAACAACCGCCTTCCCATCTGTACAAAGTGTTGCACGGCATATTTTCACTATTATATCGTGTCATGTCTCGGCATTTTCTTAGTGAACTCTGTAACTTTCTGTGCGTCTCGGTGGCAAATTGGATATACAAACTTTGTACTGCAACTTTGATATGTATGCAACCACAAGGAAGCCACGTTTGTGTGCAGCATGACCATAAAGTCTTGAGCAGATCCAAACTTACTGTACATTCAGCAGTTATCGAAAACTTTCAATGCATCCCGTTTTCATCTAGATGAGCATTGTACCGGCATGGGGTCGTGTACCACTACTGCGTGATAGACGTTAAGCTTGCCGTTGTACTGCTGTGCTGACTAAGCTTCTAATCAGAAGTTGAGACACTAGACGCCCATTGGAACTGACTAACGTTCTGCTATACTTCGTTTCAGCTTCGGTCCAAGCGCGGCCGATGTTATGAGCCGAAGGACCAATCAAACAGCGAAAGAGGCACAGCGTCGTGGTGTGCTCTCTGCAGTTGATAGGACCAGCCGGTATTCGCCGTTTCTCTGTGCGCGCTCCTCCGCCGGCTAGTCTTATCAAGCGCAGAGAGCACGCCATGACGCTACGCTTTTTGCGGTGTTTGATTGGCCCTTCTGCTCATAACATCGGCCGCGCTCGGACCGAAGCTGAAACGAAGTATAGCTGTCTAAACAAGCACACCCCCCAGCACAATCCACACTCTAAAAAACGCCCGTGCGTCTACTTTCCCGCACAACACTTTGAGAGCCAATCGTCGCAACTTACGGCGGCAGATCAGCGAATGACAATGCCAAAACATATGTTTTGGCATTGTCATTCGTTGTGAGATTAAGCAATGCCAAACGTCATGCTTGCATTGCTTAATGTAACAACTCAGACTGCGTTTTTCAGCCTAAACATATGTTTCGGCATCGCCGTTCACTGAGCTGCCTCCGTAAGTTGCGGTGACTGGCTCTCCGAGTGTTGTGCGAAAAAAAAAAAAAACGCATATTTTTTTTTTTAGTGTATATAAAAAAAAAAAAGAAACATGCGCCTTTTTTTTTTTGCAAATTTTCTACCTCATACAAGATATAATAGATATTTTAATTTTCCTAAAATAAAGATATCACCTGGGATAAAAGCGGCTTCTTTATTCATAATCTCTGCCCAACTTCCTCATGCGCCTCCTGCAGGAAGATGTATTCCAGAACGCTACACTTTAAAACAATAACCGCCGTTCTTTTTTCTTTTTTTATTGCTCGCTGTATAATTTTGAGCGCGTCAACGCCCCCAGTACACAGGGAGGGACTGTCACGGATATAAATCACTCGGCAAACTACGACCCCGCCGTTGGACTCAAAACACGCCGATAGGACGTCGTAAAAGAGGGAGGGAGAGGAAATGAAAGAGAGGGTGGAGGATCCCGTAGAAGATGGAGGGGATGTTTCGCGCTGTACCCACGGAAGGTTTGGTGCAAAAGCGCGCGAACTAAGTGTAATGGAACGCTGACAAGTTACACCGATAAGGCCAGGGAGTAGGTGTGGCGAAAACGAAACAGCTGGAATTTTTCGGGAGGGGAAGGCGGTTAGGAAAGCGTTGGGAAAGAGGCAAAGAGTATGGCTGCGGGTGCGAACCTCGATTTAGTTTCACAACCATTTTGCTCAAACATAATAACCAACTATCAAAAAAGAAGATAAGGCGTAAACAAAAAGTAAGGAGTATGATGTAACTTAATGTAACCCTGGGACTGTGGTGCTAAAAAGAAGAAAAACTTTTAAGATTGAGACGTTTTGCTACTGTTTTTTTCTTCGACTTCAAGGTTTCTCAACTCTTCCGCACCAGTTTCAGGTGTTTCATTATGATTAATTATCACCAGCTCGCCTACACCCTTACACTTATTTCGAGTATCACATGTCAGCCAACCGTCCAAAACCCAAATGGAAAGTGAGGCAGCTTTTTTGTATCTAGGATAGGGTGCGTTTGAGCACGAGAGTGTTTGTTTTGTATTCCCGTACAAGTTTGGAATGTGTCCATTATATCATGGCAAAAGTGACGTGTTTTGTAGCTTTCTAAAAACGTTCAGTGTATAATCAGCGCATGGTCCTTTCAGTTCTTGTTCGTCGTCCCTTGTCGTTTCGCGCTGTTTTACAATAGAGAGTTTTAGGGAACCGTTTCTGCAAAAACGATACGATACGATCGGTTTTCCGGTATGGTCTGCGCATACGCGAGGTCACTGCTGCCTTACCGTAGAGCAGTGTGCTAACCGTGAGCTTTGTGGTTGTACCCGGAAAAAATGTCATGGTGGTGGTGAGACAATCGATTCGAATTCACGGCGAATAACACAGATAACAAAGTAAGCACGAAGTTGAACGTCCTTAGACTCACAATCAATAAGCTTTTCCTTTTAGGGGAAGCCAAGTCAAATGAAAGTACATTTGCTAAGTTTTTCTCACCGAATACAGTCATTTTCAGCTCATCGCCAAAAAGTCCTAGCTCCATGATCACCGCGAACATTGTCCGCTCCTTTAGCGTACGAACTGTTTAGTCATGGTGGCGACGTCTGCCGCCACATTTAGTGCTCCCATACTAGCAAAACGAGACAAACTATGGTTCGTTCTAGAAATTTAGGTTCAGGCTTTTTCTGAAATGGGAAACATTTTCCTTCAGATTTGTGAAATTGCTAGACACTCCTACAGATTTGTGAAATTACCCAAAAAAAAAAAACCCGTCCCTTCCCCCCTCTTCGCAAAGAAAAAAAAAAAGCTTTTTCTTTACCAAATTCACGAAGTCATTGGGCATTTTTTTTTTCTGCTTTTCTTTTTTTGCCAGGAATTACCACGCACACCGATCGTCTGCAAACCCAGTTTCCTAAAAGCCGTTTCATTGAAAACGATCGGTCCGAACTCCCAATCCGAGCTACCGATTGTTTGGTCTGTAGACTGTGTTTTATTCTCTCTATTATGCTACCGTATCAACTAGCCCAACTTTCCGTCCTTTTATGAGTATTTCATTTTATTTATGGTTTCTTTAAAACTCCTGCAAGGGGCTTTACATAAAGGGGACAAAACAACAAAGTACACGTTAACTAAAATTTAAAAAAAGCTAAAACAATTGTTATTTTGATGCATTTAGAAACATGACAGTGCGAACATTTTGAAAATAGGAAGTGTCTAGTATGGTTAGATTGTTATCGGGTAGTAAACTTAACTCGGAACGAAAGTGATAATTGAGCCGAAGAGAATCTAAAGATTTTAGTTCTAAGAATAGTGAGGTGGAATCTGCATGCGTTTGTGCGTGAAAATATATGAATTGAAGCTCGACAATGGATATATTTTTTTTAGATGATGAACGATAAAAGAGATGACTCAGAGCGGCCAAGCGGGACATTTTGCGGCGATCAGCAAGAAAATGAATAATAATTTGTTTAGTGAGAGTATGCTTGTGCGAGTATAGTTGTAGAAGATGAAACAAGTGGCTCTGCTTTGAATGGCTTCTAATTTATCTATAAAGTATGACTGATGTGGATTCCAGATGAGTGATGCATATTCAAGCTTGGGTCGAATAAGAGTGAAATATGCAATCAATTTTGTTTCCCAAGTGGCCAGATAAAAATGATGAAGTTAGAAATCCAAGGGTTATGTTGACTTTAGCTGTTTCGTAGTTAATGTGT